AGGTGACACTTCCACTGTATACTTGGTACATTTTTCTCCTCATGCAAACCCATGTTTATTTATGACCTTTGGATTGAGTGATTCCAAAGAGAAGAATCACGGGACAAAGTACACATGGTTGTGCTAAAGGAGAAAAAAGGGTGTTCCAAAATAATTTATCCTTTCAGAAACATGACCGTTCCTTTGCACTTCCTCTAACAAATTTTCTCTTGTGTGCTTTTCTTCCTCTATACAGGGAATTTTGGCTGAAAATCAAGAAGTAGCCATTAAAAGGTTATCAAAAAAGTCTGGCCAAGGACACCAGGAGTTCATGAATGAGTTAAAACTTATTGCCAAGCTCCAGCATACCAATCTCGTTAGGCTCTTGGGTTGCTGTCTTGAAGATGAGGAAATGATATTGATCTACGAGTACATGAACAATCGGAGCTTAGACAAACTTTTGTTTGGTAAATACACGCTAATGACTTGTTAATTCTTTGTTTCTGCAAATCATTTTCCTTGTGTGCAAATGTCATGTACTGCAAGATGCACATTATGCACTGTGTCCAACATTTTATCTGAAATGAAAAAAAAACACTTGCTCATCTTTCTTTGTGGTTTGTCCAATCAGATACATCTGAAAAAATTGAATTAAATTGGGGAAGACGTTTTCAAATTATAGAAGGCATTGCTCAAGGAGTACTTTATATCCACAAGTACTCAAGATTGAAAATCATCCACAGGGACCTAAAAGCAAGTAACATACTGTTGGATGGAGCCTTGAACCCCAAAATTTCAGACTTTGGAATGGCAAGGATTTTCGGGATAAATCAGACTGAAGCAAATACAAATAGGGTTGTTGGCACATAGTAAGTCTACATATATCTGGCACATGTTTTCATTCAAGTAATGTTCCATTGCTTACTTCTCTACATATTGTCAATTCATGCACAGCGGCTACATGTCACCCGAGTATGCGAGATATGGTCATTTCTCTGAGAAATTAGATGTATTCAGCTTCGGAGTGTTGTTGTTGGAGATTGTAAGTGGAAAGAAGAATGCTGCTTTTTATCGCTTTGAGCATTCACCAACTCTTGCTGGATGGGTAATACTCAAAAATTATTCCAACTCATGATCATTCTGTTTTTAAGCCTTCCAAATTCGCAAATGACCGTAAATTCAACATTTTAATTAGGCATGGGAGTTGTGGAAAGATGGAAGAGGAATGGAGGTGATTGATGAATCGGTAAGGGAAACATGTCGGCTCGATGAAGCTTTGAAGTGTATCCATATAGGGTTTTTGTGTGTTCAAGAAGCTCCAGCTGATCGACCAACAATGTCTTCGGTAATTCTTATGTTGCAAGGCAATAAATCTACATCTCTTCCACCTTCCAAAGAACCTGCCTTTTCAACACACAGAAATTCCAATACTGTTCCCTCTTCTGAAATGTCTACCATTTTTTCTCACAACTCAGTCACCATGAGTTTGCCAGAAGGTCGATAGGCGTTGGAAGAGCAGTGACTGGCAAGCAGTTGAGAAAATAGTATAGTATATTAGAATAAACACCCCGACAACTAGCAGTTTTATACAAACACTTTGGGTTCAATTACACATTACCCGAGTTGTCTATGCGTTTTATGGTTTTTGCCCATCCAAACTAAACCGATAATAGCAGCAGATTAAATTTATGCTATGTATTTTTCAGCTGCAAATGTGAGTGTAAACATACTTCTAAATATGTTCCCACCGCACCACTTGGTGCAACCGTATTTATATTAATTTAAAATAGAATGTCGCTTGTATCAAAAGGATAAACAGGAGATTTTTTTACATCTTCCTACTTTCAGAAGACAAAAACTAAAAACCAAATTGGCCTAGGACAAAGGATTTTACATTAGTATATCCGTAATGGACAACATGGGTTTTCCTTTGGTTGGAATAGAAAATTTGATAATCATCATACAGAATCTACCGAATGCAAGTTTGGCAACTAGAACTATAAGTAAATTATGTGCCCGATCAGTTTTTTTATCGACAAGGATTCGAACTTGATGCCTCCTTCAACATTGAAAAGCAAAATATCACTAGAACACTTGATGCGCCTGATCGTGTTAAACTCAACTTTTATTAACGATAGTACGGGCTGGAGATGATGGGCTCTCGGCAAGCAGAGGGGCTGCTCGGCCTGCAAGAATAAATGGATTCAAACCGTCAACATTCTCTTTGTCGAGCTGAAACACATGCACCAGTCTGCTCAAACTATAGAGGAACTGAATGCACCCTACAGATCAAGTCAATAATAAATCAATTAAACAAACATTTAGTGAATATCACTTCGATCTAGAAAATTTGAGGACCTTGGATAGTTTCACTTACAAGCTACAACAACAAAACCAACGTAAGAGTGTGGATCAACCAACGAATGCACCATTCTAACGGCGTTAATATCATCAATTCAAGTCCGATTACCACCAATGTAAGAGTCAGCTTGGTTACAATTAGCACCAGTAAGGACATCAGTTTAATCTCAAACAAAGCTCCGCTGCCAGTTTCGGCATTATTGATCTCCACAACCTTGAAACCCATGATTGTGCTGATTCTTTATTGGGACGAGCCCAAAAACACAAACAGAAAAAGAAAAAAAAAAAAAATCAGGATTAAACTTGTGTTTGAGAGAGACAACATAAGTATGGTATATGTATGGAGGACGTACATATAAAATGTTTCCGTTTTGGGGCTTAGTTTTTGTGCTTCAAGTTTCTTCTTTTGAGTTCCTCTCATATTTGTTTTCTTTTGTGAGAAGAAAGCACAGACGTGAAAACCAAAGGGGAAATTAAAAGAAAACTGTTTGGCATTCCTAATATGATTGTTGATTCTCTTACCAGTTTTCGATCGATTGGCTTTGGGCAACTTGTAAACTTATATTCTTTCACTTTTCTTTTGTTCTTCAGTCATCAAACATTCATATCGATGCACGATATGAATGGTCCAATCGCTAATAACACTTTAGTCTTTATAATTCTAAAAGCCGAGTTTTTGTCTCATGGCTTAAATTGCTAAAAAAGAATGTTGTAGGCAAGGTAAGTAGCATTGTTTCTTGTTACTTTTTTTTCTACCTGATTTGGTTTCCCGTATATTTTGGGTCCCTACAATTGTGAGGCAGGGTACTTATGCTTCTTGTTTTGGAGAGATAGTCTCATCTTATCCAATTAAATGTGTCATGTATCGATCTTTTATTGAATAAAAGATTTACTTTTTAAAAACATAAACAACATTCATTGAGTGAGTGACACCATTAAAATTGCGCACACAATGCAAAAGAGAACCTCTTGTTGGTTTGGCAAGTAATTCCTGTTTCAGTCAAAACAGAGAGATAATGTGGCTTAGTGAGCGTTGGATAGATTATGCTTATGGGAGTGGTATTATTCATGGCCATTGCTTGCTATTTCCTGATTTTCAAAAAAATTATGTGTGGGACAGAATCATGAGGTTAATTATTGTGTGTGTCAGTGTTATGTCAATTTTGATAAAATTACATGTATGTGTACGATAAGAATCGAATTTTTGAACATCATGCGCTATATTGAACAATGACGATAATTGTTAACACTACGTAATTCTCTCACTATTAACATTAAAACATTTCCCTAATATCACGCCGTTCTTCACGTTTTGCATCCACACACAAGCAAACGTGAAAGACGACAATGATTGATTTCAAACGTAAATGATGAACTGATGACTTAGGTCCTGTTTGGCATACCGTATAAGGCATCGGATAGGACTAATAATACGGTGTACCGTGTTTAGTGACCGTTTGGATTAAATAGGCACCGGATTAAATAATCCGGGGCCACCTTTTTTACACGGCGTTTACCCGCTTACTAATACCGTCCAAATTCACGGTATAACTTAGTCGGGCTCGCTGAGAGACACAATCTTCCTCTTCAGGCGCCCTCTCTTCCTCTCCAGGCGCTCTCTCTTCCTCTCATCCCAGGTTTGTCTTCTCAACTTCTTCTTCTTCGTTTAAATCACAGTTCGTCTTTTCAGATTTCTTCTTCTAGGATTCCGCCCCTCCCTCTATTCTTTCCCCTCCTCCTATTTTTCTTGCAATTTTCTTTCAATTGATTGAATCTAGTTATTATTTTCTCTCTAATTATGCAATTGATTATGTAATTTTGTGTTTTAATTAGAATTTTTGAATTTTAGGGTTTGCTATTGGGGTCAAATTTAGGGTTTGTTGTTGGTGTTGAACTTACAATTTTAATGATTGGGTAGAGTGGGAGTGTGCAGGTTCACTTACCTAAACAAAACTTTGTCTCTAGCACAGCTCCCGTTTCACTCGCTGTCTCGCAGCCGCAACACAACCATACGGAAACTTGACCTTGGGTACGACGGTGACAACTCTTAACCACACCTGAACTACAAATCTCATTCCAATTTTTTTTTATGTGAATTTTACTTTATATATATATATATATATATATATCTGCGTGTGTGTGTGTGTGTGCGCGCGCGTGCGTGTGCGTGCGTGTGTGTGTGTGCGCGTGTGTGCGTGTGTGTGTGTGTGTGTCTGTGTCTGTGTGTGTCTGTGTGTCTCTATGTGTGTGTGTGTGTGCGTGCGCGTGCGTGCGTGTGCGTGTGTGTCTGTGTGTGTGCGTGCGTGTGTGTGTGTGTGTGTGTGTGTGTGTGTGTGTGAAAAATTTCGAACTAGGGTTGTTGAATTGTTGATTGACATTTATTCCAGTTTGTAAAGTAATTACCTTAGAGTGTGTGTTTTTGAATTCGATTCGTAACATGCTTCCTTGACTGATGAATGTCAAGACATCTTTCTGATTTCATTGTAATTTTTCCTTCTGATCACCGCAACAGTCTGTAGGATTTATTATCTGCCTATGACATTTTTGGGTAGGACTTATTAACATGCTTCCTTCTGTTTTTGGTATTATTATGCATTCATGCTCCAGTTACTTAATTTTTTGCCACTATCTAATAATGTTATTTTATATTTTCACTAGACATGGATCAAAGAAAGATTGTCGCATGCTTCATTGTTAACGTGTGGTACTTCAATATTGTGACTTGGTTGATGATGTGGTTCATCAAGAATCATAATTCAGCTAGAAGGCGGAATCGGCAACTTGCACTTAGAAATCGCACATTTGTTAGGAGAATGGTAGGGTCAGCCTATTTAGATAGCATAATAGGATATGATGATGTTCAGTGTGTGAACCAAATTAGAATGGATAGAAGAACGTTCCATTATTTATGTCAAATGCTTCGTGACCACGGTAGAGTAAAATTGGATGGTGTAGTGACAATGGAAGAACAAGTTTTCATGTTTTTGCATATACTTGCACATCATGTCAAGAATCGTACAATTGGGAGTAGGTTTTGTCGATCGGGGGAGACCATAAGTAGGTATTTCAATTCCGTTCTACATGGAGTGTTAAGGCTACAAGGTACATTTTTGAAAGTGCCAGAACTCATTCCTAATGCCTACCCAGATCCTAAATGGAGTTGGTTTGAGGTATTCTTCATATTTTATAAAAATTACTTCTAAAATTAATATAACTAAATATATTCAGCATACTAATGTTAATGATTTTTTTTAGAATTGCTTGGGGGCATTGGATGGGACTTACATTAACGTTCATGTCCCTGAGCGAGATAAACCAAGATACCGATCAAGGAAGGGAGAGATTGCGACCGATATGTTGGGAGTTTGTAATGTGGACATGAATTTGGTATTTGTGTACCCAGGTTGGGAAGGGTCGGCATATGATTCTAGAGTACTCTGAGATGCGATAAGTAGACCATCGGGATTAAAAGTTCCCATGGGTAACAATAGATTATTTGTTTATATTAGTAATTTGAATCCTCATTTTTCTTATATATAGTAATATACATTTTTGTGTGTGTTAGGGTGTTACTACCTTGTGGACGGTGGGTACACAAATGGTCCAGGATACCTTGCATCGTATCGGGGAGTGTGTTACCATCTCTCGGAGTGGAGAAATAGAAGACTCCTGATTAATCATGAGGAGTATTTCAATATGAAACATGTTCAAGCTAGAAATGTCATTGAGAGATGTTTTGGACTACTTAATATGCGTTGGAGCATCTTAAGAGGTCCATCATTTTTCCCAATTAAAACACAATTTAGGATTATGACAGTCTGCTGCCTATTACATAATCTTATTAGAAGGCATATGTCAATTGATCCAATAGAAAATGAAATCCTAAACTTGGACGAATTTGAAAGTAGTGATGATGATGAAGATATGATTGAGAGTGTTCAACCTACACAAGAATGGACTGCATGGAGAAACACTTTGGCTATGAATATGTACAATGAGTGGCGTGCACAAGTGTGATTTGATTAAATTTTCTTATATATGCATGTTGTGATTTGGTTATGGTTTGTTATTTGAACAAATAGTGATTTCTTATGTATTCAGTTATGATACTTTATTCGAACAAAGTGTGACCTGGTTATGTATTTATTTAAAAAGTGTGATGATTTGCTTATGGTTTTTATCACTTACTATTAATTATATGCATTATTGATTATATGTCCTAATGCCAACATAAAGGCAGTTCCACATGTTGTGTATGTAATTGTAGGAATGGAAAGTGAACAAAGTAGTCAACCAAAAGGAAGTAGAAGGGTTTGGAAACAACATGAAGAAGATGCATTGCTCTCCATACTTGAGGAGGCAGTTGTTAAAAATTTGCGATGTGATAACGATTGTTTCAAACTCGGAACAATGGCTCAGTTTGAAACAGCTATTAATTTGAAATGTCCTAATGCCAATATAAAGGCAGTTCCACATATTGAGTCCAAAATGAGGTGGTGGAAAAAAGATTATGCAATAGTTTATGACATGGTTAATAAAATTGGTTTTGCATTGAGATGTACGAAAGTGTATTAAGGTTGATAGCACTGAAGTGTGGCAATTCCATGTAAAGGTAATTCTCTAACATAATACTAGAATTTAACTTTACATATTTGATTACTTAACATGTTCCTTTACATACAATTTAATAGTATGATTGTGTCTACCAAACCATATCCTTTAGCCCCATTCATTATAACAGCTTAATTAAATTAATGGATGCTTGATTATATCAAGACAGGTTGAAGGGAACAAAATAAGATTATTTGTATTTTATGGATAATGTGATTTGTTTTCCCATTGAAGGTTAACAAAGAAGCAGAAGGCTGGCTAGGAAAATCGTTTCCATTGTATGACAGATTGAATGTTATTTTTGGAAAAGACCGAGCAACCGGAGTAGGAGCTGCAACTCCTACTGAGATGATGAATAAGCCTGAGCACATTAATGAAGATGAAGATGAGGCAGAGACTAGTTCTCCCTCTGTTGCTCGACGGTCCAGTAGTTCAAGTACCCGGAAAAGGAAGAGACCTACTAATGATAATGATCTTGCTGTGGCCTTTAAAGAAATGTTTTCTGAATCAGTTGATAAGTTGGGTGAAGTTTTACAAGTTGCTTTTGGGAAAGGAGTAGATCCAAAACTTGAGATTGTTTTAGAATTGTCAAAGATGGATTTGTCTATTGAGGATCAAATCAAGACACTAAATATCCTTTTCGAAAAGTCACAGAATGAGAGGACATTCTCGTCTTTGGATGGTGCAATGAAAAAAGCCTTTGTACTCATGTTACTTGGACTAAGTAACCCCAATTGACATTTCAAACCAACAACAATATATTTTGTTAAAAGCTATAGCATGCATATATTTTGTTAAAAGTAGCATGCATATATTTTGGCTATTTGGAAAAATTGTTTCTTATTGAAACCACCTTGCATTTGTATATTTTATGAACTTGGATATGTGGTTGGATTATATATCGTAACGATTGTAGTTGTTTTTTGTAAACCTTCTTTTATGTTATTGGAAAATATTTTGAATTTGATGTATGAAATTTACTATTTTTCTTTGTTATTTGAAAATTTATGTGGTTTTCAGTATAAATATGAGAAAAGTTCAACAAACAAAGAAAGATTTGTTAAATTTTTTTTTTTTTTTTGTCCTATCCGGTTCAGTACCAAATACAGTATAAATAATACGGTCATTAATCCGATACTGCACCAAACGCCCGACTAATTTAGTCAGTACTATCTTATGACTATTTATCCTATCCGACAGAAATAATCAATACAGTCTTAGCTGTCAAACGAGACCTTAAGAATAGATTGCAGAATAATTGGATCGCACATAGGCAATACTGTATAGTACCAGGTGTCGAAAAAGTCAGCTGAGGGATGCAGCCTACCACAGGCTATAGAGTCATTTAATGAAGAAATTTTTCAATCTGATTGATACACAGAATGATATATTATGTGTTATTATCAAATGATGAGATATATGTACTAAAAAGTTAATAACTTAAAATATAAAATTTCTCACCATTTCTATTAAAATACGTTTTGTGTTCTGTCACAGTTAATTTCTCTGTGTAATCACGTTACTGTCCGAGGGAAAGCAGTGGAACCGTTAGATAATGACTGATTTTATTTTATTTTAGTTAACGAAATAATGACTGATTTTATTTTATTTTAGTTAACGAATAATACAGTTGCTGCGCAACTCACTCTTTTCTCTTGTTGAGGTGATTTGAGGAAGCAGTCTCTTCTCACTGGATCGGCCTCTCAATTCTGGTCAACTTTTCCCTAATGACGATCTTGTTCTTCTTCCCCAGAGCTTCAAGAGCTTTCAATGGCCACCCTGTAGCCTCCAAGCTTCTGGTGCTCTGTACTATCAGGTTCTCAATTTTCTTGCTTACCGTGTTATTTTTTTTTCGATCTGTTTGGCTTCTGAGAAAATGCATGACCAGAAAATAAAAAATTTGAAGGAACGCGTGTTGGTCATCGTGAAAAGGGAAGGAGAAGCTACGCTTTTTCCTGTTACTTTCATTCACTGATCTCAGAAGGGGAGCCCCCTCTCCGCTCTCCTCTCCTCTCCTCTCATCTCTTACTCTTCCTCTCTCTCATTCTCTACTGGAAAATCCATAATCTTTAGTCTTCCTCTGCTCTTCCTTTCTTTCTGCTCCCCATATCCGTGGAGCCTACAAACCAAGTAGTGACGGTCGACAAGCTTCAAACATGGCGGACGCGTACTGGAGGTACAGCGATGGTGGACAACCGCGGCCGTCGTCGACGAATTCAGACATCGTAAAGCGTCCTCCCTCTGACGCCGCCGTCGCCTCAAGTGTTGCAGTTTAGCCTCTCTTTACTCCACGGCTTTTCTGTGTCAAATCGACCGCTACATCTCCCACAAAAACCCTAAATCTTTTCATCAATTTTCAATAGCGTCCCATCCGATGTGCCTCGACACACCTTAAGCCTGTTTTTGAAAAATCTCCGAAGACAGAGCTAGTCATGGAGGCGCAGATCCTATTGCGGTGTCAAACGTGGAGGTATTTCTCTTCTCATAGTTTTGCCTCTAAAAACTTCCGCTAAATTTTCAAAATTTGGAATTTTTTTATTTTATGTATTTTGATGTTGTTTTGTGAATTTTTGGCGATGATTACAAATTATTCGCGCTTCTGAGAGCAATCGATGAAGTAGAATGTGATAATCAATGGTTGAATTTCTTGATATGAGCAATTTAAGTTTTTTATTGCTGGTTTGTGGTGGTGATATTTATGGGTTTTGTCGATTAATGTTGGCAGTGATGACTAAATTTTACAGCTTTATGCCAGTTCTGCTTCAGAAAATTCGTGATTGAGAGAGCTGTTTCATACTCTGAGCCTTTTGTTTTTTAATTAGTGTTTTGGATTTCTGTGTTTTTGGTGGTGCCGCTGACGATTCAATCCTCTTGTTCGAGGTGCGGTGCAGTGGAATTGAGACCCTGTTTACAGGGAGAACCCTCAGTGAAACTGCATTCATATGAATTTAATGGATTTAACCGAGGTTTTAATCTTACTTACCCTCCTCGTAAAATGACTTTGTGTTACTTGTTTGGTTTGTTGTCTGTCTAAGATTAGATTAGTTGTTTGGTATGTTATTAATTTATAGGGTCAACAGATTGGTGTGTTAAATTTTGGTGATATCTTCTTGTCTTTTGGCCTGTGATGGTTCAATCCGCTTTTTTGAGGTGTAGTGGAGCTGAGACCTTGTTTACAAGGAGAACCCCTCGGTGAAGCTACATTGCATATGACATTAATGGATTTAACTGAGGTTTTAAGTCTTAATTACTGCATCAAAATCCATTGTTTTTGTGTTAATTGCTTGTTTTGCTGAGTAATGTTTATTAGTTTGTTAGGATTAAGTAATCTTTAGGCATCAATGATGTTACAATCCAACGTGTTTGAGGCGTAGCGGAAGCGAGAACCTGCATTGTGCAGGTAGAACCTACTCGTGGAAACTACATCCCTTGACAGAAATGATGTAGCTGAGGCATTGCAGTCATATGGTTTTGTTGTGTGTTGCGTTGAAATGTTGGTTTTGAGTTTCAACTATACCCTTATCCTTTTTTTATCAGGTTTAGGATCTGAAATAACTCATAAATTAGAGTGTTGTCATCAGCTTCATCTTGTGTTACTGATCAAGACTGGAGTTAAACAACAACACTACATCTAATCACATTTATTGTGTTTCTTTTATTTTTTTGATTCATTTTAAATTTGCTTTCTAGCCAAAATGATCCTTGAGATTTGCTTAACTTCTCATTTTGATCTTTAAGATTTAAAATCAATAGAAGTGGTTTCAATTTTGGTCCTACAGTGAAAAATTATGTATATAAAAATCAATATACACAAAATTATCCTCAGTATAGAAAATAATGGGTCAAAATGATTTGACAAAAATTGGGAGTCTTTTTTATCATTTTATTGATATTATATTTCAAAGACCAAAATGAGGAGTTATACAAATTTCAGAGAACATTTTGGCTAAAAAAACCTTTTAAATTTCATCTAAATTTCCTTGGAGGTGACTAGTGATGAATTGATATGTATGCTCTATTAATTGAATTGTGTTTTAAGTAATTTATGTAGTGATAATAATTCCTTGGAAATCTTTACCTTGGATTAGTCATGTATGGATGGGTTCAGACCAAAAACAGACTTGTACTTGTAAATGAATGTTATTGTAAACTCTGTGGTAATGGGAGTTTGAAAACTTTCAACATATCTTTGTTTGTTTTTGTGATTAATTTTTGTTAGTTATGGATTGGGGACAATCTTTTCCTCACATCATCAAATCTTAACACGCCCCAACCAATTTTCAAGACTACACGTGGACAACAACTAGGTGACGCATGAGCACGTGTGGCTTTTGGACTTTCATACGCGGAAAAACTTGCTTTGATACCACGAAGAAAGTTGAGGTTCCACCATAAAACCCAACCTCTTATTAAGCCCATATAAGGTCTCTTCTCTCATCAATGTGGGACTCATTCTCAACATTATCTACAAAGACTTCATTCATCCAGAGGAAGAACAATGTTCAAGCCCTTTCCATACATTGAATTTTCTACAGAGACTTCGTTCGTATGTGAAGGGTGGAATAGTTGACTTGCAATGATCACCACAAAAAGGGCATATAGATTAAGTTCCAGTAACATGCATACGGTAAATCTTTGCCTGCCTGCTGAATTCTTTGTGCAGCCATGAATACCAAACCCAACTCAAAGTTTGTGTTCTCCGTTATTTTATTATGTGCATTTCTCGAGTCCCATGTTTCCCTTGCAGCAGACACCATCAGCGAAAACCAATCTCTCTCAGGCGATCAAACCATTGTCTCTGCAGGTGGGATGTTTGAGCTAGGTTTCTTCAAACCAGGTCAGCTTTCAAACTACTATATAGGCATATGGTACTCCAAGCAAGTAGTATCTGAGATGACTGTTGTTTGGGTAGCAAACAGGGAAATACCAGTATTTGATAGATTTTCTTCGGTCTTGAGCATCTTAGATGGTAATTTAGTTCTCTTGAACGAGTCCAAAACCCCGGTTTGGTCAACAAATTTAAACTCCACCACCAATTCTGGTTCTGTACAAGCATTTCTTTTGGATAGCGGAAACCTTGTCTTGAAAGCGGGCTCTAGTAATAATACATCAGAGCCTTTATGGCAAAGCTTTGATCATCCAACCCACACTTGGCTACCAGGAGGTAGATTTGGATTCAACAGAATTACAAATCATCCCCAAATTCTCACTTCATGGAAGAATTTGGTGGATCCTGCGCCAGGTCTTTACTCTCTTGAGCCAGACCCAGAGGATAGAAGTTCATATATCTTATTGTGGAATAGGTCTAGAAAGTATTGGAGCAGCGGACCATGGAATGAAAGTTCGCATATTTTCAACCAAATTCCTGAAATGAGGACAGTTTCTATCTACAATTATACTTATGTTACGAATGAGAATGAAAGTTATTTCACATATTCTCCTCCTAACAATCCTAAAATTGTATCTCAATTCTTGTTGTCTGCCTCGGGAAAGATTCAGCAACGAACATGGTTGGAGAATTCCAAGCAGTGGAATTTGTTTTGGTCTCAACCAAGACAGTGTGATGTTTATGCTTCTTGTGGGGCTTTCTCCAGTTGCAAACCCACATCCTTGAACTACTGCAAATGTTTGAAGGGCTTTGTGCCAAACCTGCAGAGTGATTGGGACTCGCAGATTTATTCTGGTGGATGTTCAAGAAGAACCAGTGTGAAGTGTGGGAATGCTACGCAAGACGGGTTTCTAAAAGTAAATATGGAGTTAATGCCTGAAAATAGACAATATGAAGGTGCTCTTAGTATCGAAAGTTGTAGATCAGCCTGCTTAAATGAATGCCAGTGCACTGCTTATGCTTATAGCAGCAGCGATGGATGTTCAATGTGGCATGGAGATGTCTTGAATCTGCAAGTATTAGAAGCAAATGATGGTGGAGAAATTTTATACATCAGAGCTGCAGCTTCCGACATTAAGAAAAAACGTAATAAGAGAATGATATTCGTGTCGCACTTAGTGATCATTATTTGGAGCCATTATCTTGATGTTGTCAACAAAATCTTTTTCTTCTCCTTGCAGGTGTAATTAAGCCGTCCCTTTTGATTGCAATAGTCGTAACAATCATTGGTTTGATTGTTGTCATTTTTGGCTATTTCTTATGGAAGAAAACTTTGGGAAATAAAAGGTACGGCTACCACTCGATTTTATCTCTTTCTATGTCTTTATCCCTCACACGTGTTCTAACAGTATGACTAAAACAGAGAGCATAAGAAGAACCATAATGAGAGTAAAAGTAAATTTGATGGTGGAGGTGGAAAGGATGATGCAGAACTACCGATCTTCAGTTTAAGGGCTATAATAGCTGCTACAAACAACTTTGCTGAAGGCAATAAACTGGGGGAGGGAGGCTTTGGCCTTGTTTACAAGGTGACACTTCCACCGTGTGCTTTAAATACAAGTACATTTTTCTTCTCTTGAACACCTTTGTTTATTTCTGACCTTTAGATTGAACAAATCCAAAGAGAATCAAAGGACGGAAAAAATAGGGGTGGGCAGGAGAAAAAGGCACTGCAAAAATCATTTCCCCTTGCAGAAAATATGATTTTTTTTCTTTGAACTTCAAAAAATTCTTTCTTGTGCGCTTTTCTGCCTCCGTACAGGGAATTTTGGCTGAAAACCAAGAAGTAGCCATAAAAAGGTTATCAAAAAAGTCAGGCCAAGGACACCAGGAGTTCATGAATGAGTTAAAACTTATTGCCAAGCTCCAACATACCAATCTCGTTAGGCTCTTGGGTTGCTGTCTTGAAGATGCGGAAATGATATTGATCTACGAGTACATGCCCAATCGGAGCTTAGACAAACTTTTATTTGGTAAATACATGCTAATGACTTATTAATTCTTTGTTTCTGCAAATTATTTTCCTTGTGTGCAAATGTCATGTACTGCAAGATGCATATTATGCACTGTGTCCAACATTTTTTCTAAAATGGAAAGAAAAACACTTGCTCATCTTTCTTCGTGTTTTGTCCAATCAGATGCATCTGAAAAAATTGAATTAAATTGGGGAAGACGTTTTCGAATTATAGAAGGCATTGCTCAAGGAGTACTTTATATCCACAAGTACTCGAGATTGAAAATCATCCACAGGGACCTAAAAGCAAGCAACATACTGTTGGATGGAGCCTTGAATCCCAAAATTTTAGACTTTGGAATGGCAAGGATTTTCGAGATAAATCAGACTGAAGCAAATACAAATAGGGTTGTTGGCACATAGTAAGTCTGCATGTATCTGGGACATGTTTTCATTCAAGGAATGTTCTATTGCTTACTTCTCTACATATTGTCAATTATGCGCAGCGGCTACATGTCATCCGAGTATGCGAGATATGGTCATTTCTCTGAGAAATTAGATGTATTCAGCTTCGGAGTGTTGTTGTTGGAGATTGTAAGCGGAAAGAAGAATGCTTCTTTTTACCGCTTTGAACATTCACCAACTCTTGCCGGATGGGTAAGTATTGAAAAATTATTCCAACTCATGATCTTTCCATTTTTAAGCCTTCCAAATTTGCAAATGACTGTAAATTCAACATTTTAATTAGGCATGGGAATTGTGGAAAGAAGGAAGAGGAATGGAGGTGATTGATGAATCAGTAAGGGAAGCATGCCGGCTCGATGAAGCTTTGAGGTGTATCCATATAGGGTTTTTGTGTGTTCAAGAAACTCCAGCTGATCGACCAACAATGTCTTCGGTTATTCATATGTTGCAGGGCAATGAATCTACATCTCTTCCGCCATCCAAAGAACCTGCCTTTTCAACACACAGAAATTCCAATCCTGTTTGCTCTTCTAAAACGACTACTGGTTTGTCCCACAATGCAGTCACCATGAGTTTGCCAGAAGGTCGATAAGCGTTGGAAGAGCAGTGACAGGCAAGCAGTTGAGAAAAGAAAATAACCTACAATAGTAGTAGATTAAATATATGTTAAAGTATTTTTCAACTGCAAACCACCTCATTCCTCGGCACAACCATATTTATATTAGTTTAAAATAGAATGTCACTTGTATCTAGGCACGGTAATTTCTGACACGACTCGATAATCCGACACGACACGACACGAAATTAACAGGTGTTCGGGTCGACACAATAACGAATCAGGTTGTTATCAAGTAACCGATAAGCACTTGTTAAGATAACGGGTTGGTTCGGGTATACACGTGGATAACACAATACACAATAAGCAAAATATTAATTTTATAATTTTAAAACCCTAAAAAAATATTATAATAATTATATATATATATTAATTTAACAATTTTATACTCCTAAAAACTATAATAATTATATATATATATACACACACTCACACACTAGAACTTTGATCAACCATTGGTAATTGGCCAGGTATAAGATTGATTCTTCCAATCTTACGGTGCACAATAAAATGGTTTATTTCAATCTTATGGCGTATAGAACCTTACCGATTGGGGCTCTCTGGAGGATTTTTCCATTTAGGCTTTAGATGCTTTTATGTGTTTTTTATAATATTTTTTGTATTATTTTGTACACATCACAATACTTTTTTTTTTAATTTTTTTAATTTTTATGAATAAACGATATTATCTACACATGAGATAAATGAACAATAATGTGGTCCAAATTCGCTTTTGATGAGAATCGAACCTAAAACATCTCACTTACATATAAAAATAAATACTATTAAACTGTAGTATTAAGTGTTGGAACATAATTTGCTTGTTTGGGCTCTAACTCCTCTTTACCTTTGGTTAAGCTACTAGAATTTGTACCCGCGCGTTGCTGCAAGATTGAAAATTATATGAAAGATTATGCAACTGCAATCTTCATAAACAATGTTCGAGTAAACAATTGAGTTACAAATGTCAACGCAGTTTATACACAACCTCATCATAAATGAAACAAATTTAAATATCTTAAGTGAATTCTATTTCTTCAAAGCAGAAAGGGGAAAATAATTATTTACTAAATAGTTGGAGTAACGATAACTGCATCAATTATAAATGTAATATTGAGGGAATACCTACCAAATAAAGCTTACTACATACTTAGACTTTTCATGTGCTACATGCAACGAATGCAGAGCTTGGATACTAGACTTGCTCCTGGTTTGAGCTGTATCCAAAGAAGGGAAAACTGACATTATATTTTTGCAATAAAATTGCAAAAATTCCCTTGTACAGCTCTCCATGCTGCAGAAGAAAACAAAGACAGTCGACCAATGATGTACGACGATAAAACCATAAGACAAATCAAAAGGTGACATTGATCCAAAAAAAATATGCACGATAACTTCAAAATTAAGTTTTGGAGAGAGAGAGGTTGTAACCAGAGACCAAATTCTTTCTTTTTTTTTTTTTTTTTTTTTTTTTTCCTGATTACCCAGGTGGCAATTCGACTTGGAATTACACAGAAAATTTACTAAAAATCCTAGATTTCATCACCCAACATTGAAAAAGGAATTACAAAGTAACGTATAAACAAACAGACAACATAAATCAAAGAAAGGAACACGCGAGAACCAAAACGTTAAAAACAGCACATACCCATTTCCATATGTAACATGCATACGGTAAATAGGCACGTGGCTTGCAAATGTAATTTCGTCACAAAGTAACGTATGTGAAGGGTTGAATAGTTGACTTAGTTGACTTGCAATGATCATCGCAAAAAGGGCATATAGGTTAAGTTCCAGTAACATGCATACGGTAAATCTTTGCCTGCCTGCTGAATTCTTTGTGCAGCCATGAATACCAAACCAAACTCAAAGTTCGTGTTCTCCGTTATTTTATTATGTGCGTTTCTCGAGTACCATGTTTACCTAGCAGCTGCCACCATCAGCGAAAACAAATCCCTCTCGGGCGATCAAACCATTGTCTCTGCAGGTGGGATTTTTGAGCTCGGTTTCTTCAAACCGGGTAACCTTTCAAACTTCTACATAGGCATATGGTACACCGACCGAGTAGTATCCGAGAGGACCATTGTTTGGGTGGCAAACAGGGAAAAACCAGTTTCCGATATATTTTCTTCGGTTCTAATGATTTCAGATGGTAATTTAGTCCTGCATAACGAGTCCAAAGAGCTCATTTGGTCAACGAATTTAACCTCCTCCTCCTCCGCCACTGCACTTCTTTTGGATACCGGAAACCTGGTCTTGAGACCCGGGTCTAGTAATAATTTATCAGAGCTGTTATGGCAAAGCTTTGATCATCCAACGCATACTTGGCTGCCCGGAGGTAGAATTGGGTTTAACAATGTTACCAAACAAACCCAAATTCTTACTTCATGGAAGAGTTCGGAGGATCCTGCACGGGTCTTTTCTCGCTCGAGTTAGACCCGAACGGAAGCAGTGCGTTTTTCATAATGTGGAATAGGTCTAGGCAGAATTGGACTAGTGGGTCATGGGACGCAAAATTAAGGGTTTTCCGCTTGGTTAGTACAGGGTTCAATACAAAAATATACAACCTCAGCTATGTTACGAACGCAACAGAAATTATTTCACCTATTCTGTTTATGATCCTAGTAGAATATCTCGATTCGTGATGCTTACTTCGGGCCAGATTCAACAGCTGACATGGATGGAGAATTCCACGCAATGGAATTTGGTTTGGTCTCAACCGAGAAAGCAATGCGAAATTTATGATTTGTGTGGGGCCCTCGGAAGTTGCAATGAGGTAAGCCCCCTCGCCTGTAATCGCTTGAAAGGTTTTGAGCCGAAGGTGAAGAGAGATTGGGATTTAAAGGATTACTCTGGTGGGTGTTCGAGAAAAACCGATCTGCATTGTGGAAATGCTACTAGTGCGAGCGGAAAGCCAGACCGGTTTCTTGAACTTCCTAGCATGTCATTGCCTAAAAATAATTACACTATGGAGGTTGGGAGTATTGCCGAATGTGAACTGTTCTGCCTTAGAAGCTGTTCTTGCACTGCTTTTGCTTATGACAGCAGCGGATGTTCGATTTGGAACGGAGAACTCTTGGATTTGCAACAACCAACATCAAGTGACGACCAGGGAAGAACTTTATACCTCAGACTTGCAGCTTCTGAGTTTGAGAGTTCTCAAAGTAACAAGGGATTGAATGTTGGTGTTGTGATTGCAATTGTCTCAATAATCACAGGTTTGCTGGTTGTCATTTTTGGCTATTACTTACTGAAGAAAACATTGGAAAAGAAAAGAGAGCATAGGAAAAGAAATGGTGAAAAGAACGATGCAGAACTGCCTATCTTTGGTTTAAGGGCTATAATAGCTGCTACAAACAATTTCGCCGAAGCTAATAAACTCGGAGAGGGAGGATTTGGCCCTGTCTACAAGGTGACACTTCCATAGTGTACTTTAAAAACTATTATATTTTTCTTCTCATACACCCTTGTTTATTTATAACTTTTGAATCGAATAATTCTAAAAGACGTATCACGGAACAAATTACATATAGACGTGAAAAGAAAAAAGGGTGTTCAAAATTAATTTTATCCTTTCAAAAATACGACCGTTCCTTTGTACTTTTACAAACTTTTCTCTTATGCGCTTTTCTTTCCTCTGTACAGGGAATTTTGGGTGAAAATCAAGAAGTAGCCATAAAAAGGTTATCAAAAAAGTCAGGCCAAGGACAACAGGAGTTCATGAATGAGTTAAAACTTATTGCCAAGCTCCAACATACCAATCTCGTTAGGCTCTTGGGTTGCTGTCTTGAAGACGAGGATATGATATTGATCTACGAGTACATGCCCAATCGGAGTTTGGACAAACTTTTGTTTGGTATATATACATATATATATATATATATATGTATGTATGTATGCTAATGACATATTGATTCTTTGTTTCTGCAAATTGTTTTCCTTGTGTTTAAATGCCATGTACAACAAGATCAAATGCACAGTGTCCAACTTTTGATCTAAAATGAAATTAAAGAAAAGCACTTGCTCATCTTTCTTCATGGTTTGTCCAATCATCAGATGCATCTGAAAAAGGAGGATTAGATTGGGGAAGACGTTTTCAAATTATAGAAGGCATTGCTCAAGGAGTACTTTATATCCACAAGTATTCGAGATTGAAAATCATCCACAGGGACCTAAAAGCAAGTAACATACTATTGGATGGAGCCTTGAACCCCAAAATTTCAGACTTTGGAATGGCAAGGATTTTCGGAATGAATCAAACTGAAGCAAATACAAATAGGGTTGTTGGCACATAGTAAGTCTACATATATCTAGCACATGTTTTCATTCAAGTAATGTTCTATTGCTTACTTCTATACATATTGTCCATTCATGTGCAGCGGTTACATGTCACCCGAATATGCAAGATATGGTCATTTCTCTGAGAAATTAGATGTATTCAGCTTCGGAGTGTTGTTGTTGGAGATTGTAAGCGGAAAGAAGAATGCTGCTTTTTATCGCTTTGAACATTCACCAACTCTTGCTGGATGGGTAAGTACTGAAAAATTACTCTAACTCATTATCATTTTGTTTTTAAGCCTTCCATATTTGCAAATGACCGTAAATTCAACATTTTTATTAGGCATGGGAGATGTGGAAAGATGGAAGAGGAACAGAGGTGATTGATGAATCGGTAAGGGAAACATGCCGGATCGATAAAGCTTTGAAGTGTATCCATGTAGGGTTTTTGTGTGTTCAAGAAACTCCAATTGATCGACCAACAATGTCTTCGATAGTTCGTATGTTGCAGGGCAATGAATCTACATCTCTTCCACCTTCCAAAGAACTTGCCTTTTCAACACACAGAAATTCTAGTCATGTTTACTCTTCGGAAACGCCAACCATTTTTTCCCAAAACACAGTGACCATGAGTTTGCCAGAAGGTCGATAGGCATTGGAAGAGTAGTGACTGGCAAGCAGTTTAGAAAATAGTATAGTATATTAGAATAAACACCCCAACAACTAGCAGTTTTATACAAACACTTCAAGGGTTCAATTACACATTACTCGAGTTGTTTGTGTGTTTTATGGTTTTTGCCCATCCAAACTAAACCTATAATAGCAGCAGATTAAATTTTTGTTATGTATTTTTCAAGTGCAAAGGTGCGTGTAACCATACTTCAAGATATGTTCCCACCACACCCCTTCTATCAAAGGGGAAATAAAATAGAATGTCGTTTGTATTAGTTTAAAACAGAATGTCGCTTGTATGAAGGGAATAAAGAGGAGAGTTTTTTACATCTAATTTTCAGAAGATAAAAACTAAAAACAAAATTGGTCTAGAACAAAGTATTTAACATTAGTATATCCATAATTGACAACATGGATTTGGCAACTAGAACTACAAGTACACTATGTGCCCGATCAATTTTTTATCAACGACGATTCGAACTTGAGTTTCTCTCATATTTGTTTTCTTTTGTGAGAAGAAAGCATAGACGTGAAAAACCAAAGGGGAAATAAAAAGAAAACTGTTTGACAATCCTAATTTGATTGTTGATTCTCTTACAAATTTTCTAGATTGGCTTTGGGCAACTTGTAAACTCATATTCTTTTTCTCTTCTTTTGTTCTTTCAGTCATCAAATATTCGTATCGATTCACAGTATGAATAGCTCAACTGCTAGTAACAATTTAGTTTTCATAATTCTAGAAGTCAAGTTCTTATCTCATGGCTTAAATCGCTAAGTAAGAATGTTGTAACACTATGTAATACTTTTAACTATTAAAATTAAAACACTATGTAATACTTTGACTATTAAAATTAAAACATTTCCCTAATATGAAGTCGTTCTTCATGTTTGGCATCCAATCACAAGCAAACGTGAAAGAAGACATCGTTGATTTCAAACGTAAATGATGAAACAGATGACTCAAAGGATAAACCGCAAAATAATTGGATCACACATTGGCAGTACTGTGGGGCGCAGCCTACCTACAGGCTACATGTCGACTGTCCGATGGAGAGGAGTGGGACCAACTCAGTTTCCTCATCCAACAAAATAACTCAAGTTAACAAGTGCCACGCGTCCATTGGATGATGACTAATTTTATTTTATTTTTGTCAATCAATGAATAATACAGTTGCTCCGCAACTCCCTCCCTCCTCTTGTTGAGTGATTTGAGGACCAGTCTCTTCTCACTTGATCATCCTCTGGATTCTGGTCAAGCCCCAAATGACGATCTTGTCCTTCTTCACCAGAGCTTCAAGAGCTTTCAATGGCCACCCTGTTGCCTCCAAGCTTCTGGTGCTCTGTACTATCAGGTTCGCAATTTTCTTGCCTACCATGTTATTTTCTTTTCGATCTGTTTGGCTTCTGAGAAATGCATGACCAGAAAATGAGTTGGGTTGAAATATTTTCTATCATAGCATAAAGACACATTCTTTTTTAATTTTGGTTATATTTCAATCAAGTGCCAGTTTTTTTCTTTCTGTGGTTTAAGCAAAATGTCAGCTTATTAACTCTGAATCTAAACTTTTCTTTGAATCTCAGTTTCGCAGCCACCAGACACTAGACTTTGTTTGGTTACTGAGAAAATAGACTGCAAATGTTTGTTTTGGAGTCTTAGCTATGCTGAATTTATTTAATTTTCTCTCTGTTTTCTGTGCAACCAAACATGCCTTTTAAGGTTGTTAATTCTTTTCATGTGATCTTTCACTGCGGAAAAGAATCCTCACCCCTTAAGTTACCCTTTTGCTTGATTAGCTTGTAGATTTACAATTACTTTACATATTCCAAGCAACTTGACATAGATCTACTACTAAAGGGGTTATGTTGAAGATATAAAATACTTTATTAAAGCATGTCTTTTTACCTTTTTGTTTTGTTTGAATTGTAACCTTTTTTACTAGCTCACATTGTTTTGTTTTTGCCAATTTGACATCCATCCACATGATTATTGACAAGCAAACGTAGACAAAATGCACAATTCGTAAAAAAAAAAGAAGAAAACTTCGTTCGCTTAAACTCATTGTCGATCATATTTTTTCTGTTTTGGTTTCCGTTTGGACTATTGCAGTAGCGGAGGTCTCCTGGCGTATGCAGAATCGCAGTCCAACGTTGGCTCTCCTGTTGTCGATCCTAATCAAAACGAGTCTAGGAAAAAGAGAGTGGTGGTGCTTGGGACAGGATGGGCTGGTACTAGTTTCCTTAAGTACCTTGATGCTTCAGCTTATGATGTTCAGGTTGTTTCACCCCGAAATTATTTTGCGTTTACTCCTTTGTTACCGAGTGTCACATGTGGGACGGTTGAAGCACGAAGCATAGTAGAACCCGTTCGAAATATCATAAAAAAGGTAAATGACACATTCAACAGTTCCAATTCATAAGACAAATTAATGGAGATTGGTCTCAAATCGAGACATGCACTATCGCACTGTTCTTTTCTTTCTTAAACATCATTTACTTGATATACAAGTCGTGTGTGCTTTACTTTTATTTCATGGCAGAGAAATGGAGAGATCAAATTTTGGGAAGCAGAATGTGTCAAGATTGATGCAGCAAATAAAAATGTTTCCTTGCGGGCTAATTTTGACCAAAACTTGGTGGGAAATAAGGAATTTTCCCTTGACTATGACTACTTGGTCATAGCTTTAGGAGCACAAGTGAACACTTTTAACACCCCTGGTGTCAAGGAGAACTGTCATTTTCTGAAGGCAAGTCTGGTTTATTGAACTTTTTCAGCAAAACTAAATTGCTTTCACTCTTCTTTCATAAGGTGCTGATATGAAATTTTTCTAACGAAACGTATTTGGCTTCTAATGCAGGAAGTGGAAGATGCTCAAAAGATACGTATGAGTGTGATAGATTGCTTTGAAATGGCTATACTTCCAGGTCTAAGTGAAGAAGAGCGGAGGAGAAATCTTCATTTTGTAATTGTTGGAGGAGGTCCTACTGGTGTGGAATTTGCTGCAGAGCTGCATGATTATTTCCAAGAAGATTTAGTCAAGTTATATCCTATGGTTAAGGATCTTGTGAAAATAACAGTTATCCAATCTGGAGATCACATCTTGAACATGTACGAAGGATGCACTCATGTTTTAGATTATTGATTGATTTTTGGAAACATTTCGATAATAAACCCGATTTAATGAAGAACTTCTATTATATCCAAGAGCAAATAGCAAGTTCATTCAGAGAACTAACTAAACTTTGTATCCTCACACTGTAGGTTCGATGACAGAATTAGTACTTTTGCTGAGAAGAAGTTTACAAGAGATGGTATTGATGTTCAAACAGGATGTCGGGTTGTCAGTGTTTCTGATAAGGAAATCACGATGAAGGTGAAATCGAAGGGAGAGGTTTGCTCTATACCACATGGCTTGGTTGTGTGGTCTACTGGTGTTGGGACTCGTCCAGTTGTGAGGGACTTTATGCAACAAATTGGGCAGGTTTGTTTCATAAATTTTATGCACATACAAGACCGAGAAACACAGAATGTACAGTATAATCAACTGTTGTATGGGCAACATGGTTATTCAATCATAGTTTATCTTCTGCTCAATGTGCAGGCTGATAAACGTGTTCTAGTAACTGACGAATGGCTGCATGTAAAGGGATGTGAAGATGTGTATGCCATTGGTGATTGTGCTTCAATTAGTCAACGTAAAATCATGGTATGCATGAATATATTCAACCTTTTTAAACTTGTAGTTGAAGCTATTTTATACATGTTATTGTTAACTTATACTTAATCACCATCTTGTCATCTTCAGGAAGATATCTTCACCATATTTAAAGCTGCGGACAAAGATAACTCTGGTACCTTAACAGTTGATGAATTTCGAGATGTAGTTGACGACATAATCATAAGGTACCCCCAAGTGGAACTCTATTTAAAGAGCAAGCATCTGCAGGATGTGACAGACCTATGGAAAGATCTCGATGGTAGTGATAAGAAGGAAGTGAACGTGGAAGAATTTAAATTAGCCCTTTCTCAAGTGGATTCACAGATGAAGAGTCTGCCTGCAACTGCTCAGGTATATGGTTGTGACATGATTTCAGGTCGACCAAATATAAGAAAGGGACCTTCAATTTGTACGCTCTTTTGGCATTCAGGTTGCTGCGCAACAGGGAACATATCTTTCTAGTTGCTTTAACCGGAGGGAGCACTGCAAAGAGCATCCTGAAGGTCCGAGGCGTTTTAAAAGTTCTGGGCAACATGAGTTTCTTCCCTTTCGGTATGTACTCACTCACGCCATTTATTACTGCATGTCATATAACCTATTCACGTTATGTGATTTTTTTACTTCTACTTCTCTTTCAACCATATACTTCAAAGATTCACCTGGAAAACAGCACAATTATTCGCCTTGATGGCATTTAGTGAAAATCAATTGTGCTATCACTCGTTCACATATAGCTTCACAAAATTGTCATCCCCTAATGTTTAGTACATGAAATGTCAGCTGTTGTTCATGATTTGAACATGGCAATGAAAGTTTCAAGAACTTCCATAAATGCCTTCTTATTTTCATGCTAAATTTCCGACGATTCTTGATTTGACACAATGCACAATATCAAGTTCATACTATATATCTCATTTGCTTTCTTTTTATTTTTCTAACCAATGTGTTAACGGTAACCTGTGAATCACCAGGTACAAGCATTTCGGGCAATTTGCTCCGTTGGGGGGAGAGCAAGCAGCAGCAGAGCTACCCGGAGACTGGGTTTCCATGGGTCATAGCACACAATGGCTCTGGTATTCTGTATACGCAAGGTATTCCTCATCTGCTTACTTGTTGTAAGTTGTAATACAATATGCGCACAATTGAATCTGATTTAATACGATGTTTTCGTTATTCAGCAAGCAAGTGAGCTGGCGCACTAGAGTTCTTGTGGTATCGGACTGGACCAGGAGATTCATTTTCGGGAGAGATTCAAGCCGTATTTGAAGAGGGCAAAGCGCATTTCTGGCACATGTAAATTGTTATCCTTAATAGCTAGGTTCATTGTTGTGCCATGATGAGTGTTTGCATTTGCTTATGCGATTCGTTTACTGTCAAAATGTCGAAACTTACTGCGGTAAATATCTTCTTTTGTACATTCTTCTGAATGTGCGAAATGTCGAACGTACTTGGTAAATATGATGTTCTATCAAATCCTTCTGAATGTGCAAATGTCGCCCTTACTGCAGTAGATTGGTTGTTTTATCGGTTCTTCTGACTCTGCGATATTTCGAACTTACTGCAGTAAAAATGTTGTTCTATACATTCTATTGAATGAGAATTTTCGGGCAAATAATTGGATTCTTTTATGGCACGTACAATATCAACACAATGTTACAGACTCGCGTGATGCATATTTGATTATTATAAGAGCATTTCCAAGAGTTAGCAAAATTTTTCTTTAAAAGTTGCTAACTTGGAAAAGTTGATAACTAGGAGAAGTAGCAATTTAACTTGTAAATGTACAAAGTAAGTTGCTAAGAGTCCGGATCCTCTTTGTGAGGATTTCGGGAATCTGTGAATTTTGTCCGTTTATCGTACATCGTGCAGTCAAAAATTATTTTAAATATTTTTATTTAAAAATAAACATAAACTGTACTTGATAAAAACTGATCGTATGATGTACGATGAATAAACACGATTTATGGATCTCTAAGATCCTTATCAAAAGGATCCGAAGAGGATCATGGTGGAGTTGCTAATTCTTTAATTTGCTAATCAGGTTGTTACTTTCCTGGAAAAAACGCAGCATAGCTAATCTAGGTTTTTTTTTTTTTTTTGGAAACTAGCTAATCTAGCTTTTGCTATCCAAATGTTACCACCTCTGGAGATGCTTTAATGACAAATGTCATGAAATAGTTATGGAATGTGAATGACTGACCGATCAAATGGATTTTACCAATCAATCGGCTACTCACGTCCTACAAAGTTTATGCATCATCAGAGAGATCCTTGTTTGATTAGATGGTGGAAGCATTACGAATTAATTAAATTCTTGCCACGTTAACGCGTGTTGCAATTTGCTATTTTTTAGCTTAATCTTTTATCTTTCTTTTTTTTTTGTTTTAATATTTTTTGAAACAAAAAATCTAGTTTACAGTTAATGATTTAAAAAGTAAATAAACTAATGAAAAATATTTGAAAACTTTGAGTTTTAACGATAAAGATAAAATAAATGGTAAAATAAATAGTATTATGATTGACCTTTTAGTGTAAAAATATGATTTTTCGATAAAATAAACAGTACCAGAAGCTTTTCGTCAAAGTTCTCTTAAAAAAATTGGTTAGTAGCTCACTTCTTATATGTGGAGAGATTCTTCAACACGAGGCAGTATGCTACTTTTTATTATTAAATAGCAAGAATTTTTTTTCAAGTGTTTCTCCAATTATATAATTACATATGATTACTATCCTGTGTTACAGGCACACCCATGTGATGAGGTGGTTGTCTTTTGATTCTTTGATTATGTTACTAAGTTCCTAACTCTCCGGTTTGACAAGTCAACCTCGGACCCAGAAAAGCAGTGTCCGATTAACCTTTAGACCCCGGACCCTCGCATACGAGAAATTTTTAGGTGTGCCGGGAACACCATGCCACGTGGTGTTCCCTCACACATAAAAATTCAAATTTATTTATTTATTGAAATAAAAAATTGAAGTATATTCAAAATTTGAATTTTTATGTGTGAGGGAACACCACGTGGCATGGTGTTCCCGGCACACTGAAAAATTACTCCTCGCATACCCCGGCCATTAGAATCTGTCGCTCCCCAGTTTTCGTATTTCTCTAAATCAAAGAAAAATATATTACGCCATTGTAACTTTCTAAACCTTTTCTTCCCATAAAGTATCAGAAACAGAAAAATTTGGGTTTCGCAATGGGGAGGACATTCTTTCTTTGAGACAGCCTCTAGGCTTTTTCATCAACGTTCCTCTCTGTTCAAGATTCTTGTTGTGACTTTCAGGACCATGTCCATTCATGAAAATGACGTCCGTTTTTTAATTAAAGAAAATAATAGACTGCCAATATAGATACATTTTTTAAAATATTGACGCGCGTCTGTTTTTTAATAAAGAGCAGACGTCATGTACAGAGAATTTCTGTTATTTTAACGTGCATCTTTATACGAGCTTGCATAGTTTATGTTTAGCTTTGTTTTGGATGGATTTTGTCATTTTCTCTTTGTTTTGGAAGTATTTTACGGTACATGGAACATCTTTGGCATTTTATTTCAAATGAAACTCTGTATACTTTTATTTCTTCTCACTTGCATTGCATACATTGGCAGTGGGGGAGGTCTAGCATTACTTCATGAAACCATGCCAGTCCATACTGTACATGCCGATTCTTCGATGAGATGAAGGTGAGGGAGATTCGAACTTCCCTGTATGTTTATCGATCGCTGATCACGAACCTGAAGAAGATGAGGAAGGTGGACTTGACATTGAGTTTAACGGAGGAGATGGATTCGTGTAGTTTGGAGCTTGCTGGTCCTATGGATTTCAAACGACAAACGATTGTAAGCAGTTAGAAGTTGGAGATATGGTTTGGTGTATTATAGTGCTTTGAATCTGCCGTCCACTTTCCTTGCTCATTTTCGAAATGATCTGTATCAAACATGACTCAAATATCGACAGTTTTCTTCGAGCAAAATTGTTGTTTTCAGCAGACTGATTACGCTCAAATTGCGGGTCCTACGGATTTCAAACGAAATAAACCGTTGTAAGTAGTTAGAAGCAGGAGTTACTATTCTGTTTTCGATTTGAAGGTGTCTCTTCCTATTGCCAATTGGTATAGTATCTATTAAATCAATTTCTTTGCCCATTTTCGAAAGTTTTGTATCAAACATGATTCAAATTCGACATTTTTATTCGAGTGAAACTGTTTTATTAGCAGACTGATAACTCGGATTGTAAAGGCTGAAACAAACTCATCTTGCTAGGAAGCAAGAAAAGTAGCTTCATCCATTATTGCATAGCAGAGAAACCAGACTTACAAACCCGATTAAGGGAATTGTTATTGATACTCCAAAAATCTCATTCTACACTCCAAACTTTCTATATTTGGAAAGAAAAATACACGAGGAGTGTAGAATGAGATTTTTGGATTGCCAATAACACTTCTCTTAATCAATACAAAATGCGTAGTCTCCATAACAAGAGTTATGGCTAATCGAAAATCAAGCTAAACTTCGTAACAAAAATTAACAATTTCAGTGGAGATGAAGTTCCTCGGCGATTCCACTTATTCTTCCTCAGCATCTGCTTCTGCAAAATTCAATTCCTGGCAAACCTCCCCATTGGTGCTAAAGTAGGATTTCATCCCAACCAATTCAGCAACCCTTTTGGCTGGCCCCGAACCCCTCGGAGTATCAACACCACATTGGACAGTCTTAATTTTTGGAAGCACATCTCCTATCTCAGCAACAACTGAAGGTGACTTACCATCCTCCGCCGCACCTTGGTACACCACTACCTCACTTGGAATCTCCCACCTCTTCTTCACCCGGCACTCCGGTCCTTGACTCCTGGACATTTCACGGCCAATGCCACGCGGCTTCCCTGCCAAGGATACCCGCCTCTTGTCACACCTCTTGCTGTCATCCTTGTCATCCTCGGGCCAAGACCGCTTCCGGCCATCACTCACTGCCGAATTCCCTATCTGATTGTACCTGCTAGGCACAACCCTCCCAGGCTTGAATGGTGTTTTCTTGGCAGGCGCAGACTTCTCGGCTCCGTCTTTAAAAAGCTTCTTGGGTTCAATTGATGCAAGAACCTTGTCTTCCTTCTTCGCAGGTCTCTTAGACCCTCCAACAGTAGTCGCAGGCCTGTTTAGGAGCTTGAACCTTGGACACAGTTTTCCGTGATTTCGGGCTCAAACTCAAACTCTTGCCCCTCTCTTTTGTAGCCCTCAATTCATCAATGTCTTGAAGCTTCCAAAAGCAAGATTTCCGGCGACTCTGCGTTGCCTGAACAGGGGTGATCTCGAGCTTACTCGGCCTCCGAAATCCTGCTTCAGCTATAATCTCAGAGGGCCCAAACTCATTCCTCTCCGATTGACCTTTGGCCTCACACTCATCATCAAAGACTCAATCTTTTTCAACCCGTCCAAATTCTTCACACTCTGTTTCGGCTCCATGAACTTCGCCGCCACAACCCTTCCGCGCTTCTCTACCGCCTTCTCGCTTCTCTCAGCCTTTTCGATTTTAAGCGCTTCGAGCCTCGAATTCAATCGACTAATCTGCTTCTCAATCTCTTCAATTTCAGCATCGATCTTTCCCTTATCTCGAACTTTCTCTTCTCTTTCTTCAACCTCCCCAATACCCTTCTTCTTCGCGACCACCGAGATGGGCTCAAGATTCGTATTTGTGTCCAGCGGCTTGAAGGGCACCGAAGATTTGACACAGACAGGGGTTTTCAGAATCTCTGGGCTCAGATTCTCTTTGCTGCAACCCGAATCAAACGACTAGGAAGAACGATTCAGCGACAGGGGTTGCAGTAGCTCGGACCAGGAAGCTTTGACGACGGAGGAGCCGCCTTCGGAGTCTTCGTTGTCGAAGGCGGCGTTGTTCCATACCTGAAGGTCTGGTGCGTTAATGGCGTCTGGGTATTCAACAACACTCATTTTCGCTCAATGGGTTCGAACGATTTTAGGAGGATATGGAAGATTAGATGATGGGTTCTTGTACTGTAACTGCTGATTTGTGATTCTAGGATGAGAGAGCAAGAGAGAGGATATTGATTTTCTCTGTATTTTGAGATTTTTGACCGTTGGGAAGAAATTTAGACGTTGGGGCCAGCCTGAGACTCCGTGTAATCGTAGCCGTTGGATGCTAAACGGCTCCTATAGACGCTCCGATTTGAGTTAAAGTTTGTTTTCTATACGAGATTTAATGTTTTCTCTCATTTTTTTGGACAGATTCGTTTTTACCTTTTACGTATATATTTTTTTGGGTCAGAGATTTTATTACGTAGGCCAGTGCCCTATTTCTCAGAAACTATAATTTTGTTTCGGAATAACGGTTCAGTACGTTAAATGTAATAATTAAAAATTTGAAAAAAAAAATACAACCAGTATTGTTACATTTGATGTGACGGGCTATGTTTCTAACACACTGAAAAATTTCTAATACCAAATGTCCATGATTTATGAGTTCAAATCTT